TCCTTTGAAGTGCTGGGTTTGTGGGAAGATATTGTGCAAATTTGGTTTTGTCATGGATTATCTTGGTTTCTCCATCTATGGTAATTGAGAGTTTTGCTGGGTAAAGTAGCCTGGACTGGCATTTATGTTCTCTTAGGATCTGTATGACATCTGTCCAGGATCTTCTGGCTTTTATAGTATCTTGTGAGAAATCAGGTGTAATTCTGATAGGTCTGCCTTTATATGTTACTTGGCTTTTTTCCCTTATTGCTTTTAAAATTCTTTGTTTTGTGCATTTTGTGTTTTGATTATTATGTGACAGGAGGTATTTCTTTTCTGATCTAGTCTATTTGGCATTCTGTAGACTTCTTGTATGATTATGGGAATCTCATTCCTTAGGTTAGAGAAGTTTTCTGCTATAATTTTGTTGAAGATATTTATTGGCCCTTTAAGTTGGGAATCTTCACTCTCTTCTATACCTATTATCCTTAGGCTTGGTCTTCTCATTGTGTCCTGGATTTCCTGAATGTTTTGTGTTAAGAACTTTTTGCATTTTGTGTTTTCTTTGACAGTTGTGTCAATATTTTCTATGGTATCTCCTGCATCTGAAATTCTTTCTTCTATCTCTTGTATTCTGTTGGTGATGCTTGTGTCTATGACTCCTGATTTCTTTCCTAGGTTTTCTATCTCCAGGGTAGTCTCCCTTTGTGATTTCTTTATTGTTTCTACTTCCATTTTTATGTCCTGGATGGTTTTGTTCAATTCCTTCACCTGTTTGTTTGTATTTTCTTGTAATCCTTTAAGGGATTTTTGTGATTCCTCTTTAAGGGCTTCTACTTGTTTACCTGTGTTCTCCTCAAATTCTTTGAGAGTGTTATTTATGTCCTTCTTCAAGTCCTCTATCATCATCATTAGAAGTGATTTTAGATCTGGTTCTTGCTTTCCTGGTGATATGGGGAGTTCAGGACTTTCTAATGTGGGAGAACTAGGTTCTAATGATGCCAAGTACCCTGGGTTGCTGATGCTTATGTTCTTGCCCTTGCCTTTTGCCATCTGGATCTCCTTAGTGCTATCTGCGATGTCTCTGACTGGAGCCTGTCTTCCCTATTATCTAGGTTGTGTCAGAAATGTTTGGGATGGGTTTTGCTGCTGGGGTTAGAGCTGAGGCTCAAGATCTGCTCAGTGCTCAGATGGAGAGTGGAAGGACCTGTGCTCTGGGCTAGGAGTGAATTCCTGGGTCCCAGTGGTCCTAGTTATCCCCTGTTTAAGGAGGGTGTTGCTGTCTCCTTACCTGAGATACTGCCTGAGTTAAGCTCCTGGGAGGTACTCTTCCTCTGGATTTTGTGAGGTTGGGTACAGAGCTGCCGCCTGAGATCTGCTCTATGCTCGGGCCCAGACTGGAAGTCCCCCATAAAAGTATTTTCATTGCTACTTTATAACTAATTTTGCTACTGTTGTGAATCATAAGGTAAATATCTGATATGCAGGATATCTGATACACTACCCCTGTAAAAGGGTTGTTTGAACCCCCAAAAGGGTCGCGACCCACAGATTGAGAACCATTTGTCTAAAGAGTCTGTGCAATTCCTACTGAAGGTTTGGATGAGGAACTGCACAGCTGCTGGTGGGGTGAGAACTGGGCAGGAGAGGGATGGAGAGGCTGCCAGCTAACCAAGACAATCAAACCCAAAGAGGCCATACTTGACACAAAGAGGGAGACCTACCACACTCTACAGCTCTGTACTTGTTCAAATTAACTGCACAACAGGGTCCCCAGTATTGGCAGAAGTGGTTTTAGGTGTATTGAGTTCTAAAAGGATTTCACACCGAAGGATCTACAGCCTGCTTGGAACTTCAGGACTCATGTTAGCCTGTGGGAGAATCTTGGGGTCTTGCTATAGGAAACACAAATTTAACCCACAGTTTCCTTGACTTACTAAAAACCAAGAAGCCTAGTTTCCAAAGCATCACCCCAAGCTTTTCTTCAAGCTTGCACTTTGTGATATGCTGTCAGATGTTGCCTGTAAACAGCATATAATTTCTCATTCTGTATGAGAAATTCATTTCCTCTTCACCCTTTGTTGTGTTAATAAAACTGAAAACTTTCCCCCGGTTGTTTCATCAGACTATCCAGAGTAGACGGTTTCAGACTAGTATTTGTAGACAAGACTGGCTGCAAACACTAATCCAAACAAAACTACTGCTGCCTTTTTGGGCCTTGGCCACTTTGGAGAGTGTCCGTCCACACAAAGCCTGTGGAATATTTCATTGTGAGATCTGAGGCCTGAGACACAGAGGCAGCTAACAGCAGCTCTGTCTTTCTGAGGAGACTGGACTTTTCTTTATTTTTCCAAAGTTGATTGGCTTTCAGGAAACGAAAAATGGCAGTAACAACAGCAAAGAAAAAAAAAAAACCCTTGAGAAAGATTACTGCTCAGCCTACCATGTCTCCTGCAAACAGAGAACTTGGCAGAAATCAGTGTGGACTTAGAGAAGGTTGAAAGACCTGTTTCTATGGTGAGAAATTAGACACACACAAAAGACAAGTTTAACATCCCTAAGTAATTATACTTCAGTTGAGTAGTCCAAGAAGAGTCTGTCTCTACCTGTCCTGGTAACAAAACAAAAAGAAGCAAACAAGCAAACAACCGAAAGGCCTAAATGCATAACAAAAACTCACAAGTCTCTTTGGTCTAAAATCCTTTCCTGGTTTATCAGTCTCTGGATTTTTCTCAGACTAGTGAAGGATGCACCGGCAAGACTAACTTCATTCCAAAGGTAAAAGCCCTTTTGTGTTTGCAGGGCTGTATAAACATAAGCAAACTTCATCTGTCACCCAAGCTTCAGACAACACTGAGGGAGAGCCACCATAATCTCAAATCCATGTGTTTGGAGTAAGAAGCTCTGTAAATACCCCAACACAATTTTTATTATAATTATTTTTATTTTTATAAATATAATTACATTATTTCTCCCCTTCCCTTTGGTCCCCCAGCCTCTCCCATATACCTTCTTGTTCTCAAATTCATGGCCTCTTTTTTCTTTAGTTGTTGTTCCATGTAGGTATATTTACATATGTAAGTATATACATATTCCTAAATATACAAACAGTGTGCTCTGTCTGAATGTTTCTTGTGCATGTAAGGTCTCAGGGATGGTCACTTGACACTGTATAACTAACTGAGGAGCTTCTCCCTTGAAAGCCTTGAAAGGATGATCCCTTAAGTCTGATTAGAAAGCTGTTGGTTACTGCCAATGTATGCATGCCACTGTGCACGCTTGGCTATCAGGCCATGCTGCTCACGGGGGTTCAGCTGAGTAGGATTATTGGTTGTTTCCCGCTTGGACATTTCCATGGCACCTCCTGCTAACATAAAAGCTAGTCCTCAGGGGTATAGCTGTCAGATCAGATCCAGTTCAGGCCATCTGGACCCCATATCTAAAGTGCATGGTGTCTTCAGCAATAGGGACTTTCCTTTCAGGTCTAAGAGGCAAGCAATGGTAACAGCAATAGTCTGTAATGTTTGGAGAGTCTCTGACAACCACGACCAAGAACCCAAAAGAGACTTATGTCGGGCCTTGGCATTTTTATTACACAGCCTTAATTACGTTTGGAGACCTACTGGGACAGACCTGTTCCTCCTGCTTCTCCTGATGATGACCTACATACTGCTCTGAGTGGAACTGTTTCTCAGTTGGCAGCCAAAGCCTGCTCAGAACTTCTGAGCTGTAATGACTCACAGAGCTGTACCACTCCTCAGAGTCTCTCAGCTGGCATCCTGCTGCCACTGGTTGGTTTCCTTTAGGTCTTACATAAAAATCTGTTCTATGTCATTTTATCCTGCTTGAAAGTTGATAATCCCATGTTGATAAAGTACCCTATTTGTACTTTTTACTGTTTGGAGGAGGATAGGACACAAACTAGGTAGGAGACCAGTCGCTTCAACAGAGGCTTTCCATGGAGAGTGGGTTTATGCCCAAGATGACCGGAACCTGGTTATGAGGATTGTGAAGGAAGAGCTGTTAGGCACAGCTAGGGTTCGATATCAAACATTTACAGTTGATAAGATGTCTTCAGTGGCTAGTGATGAAAACAGAACTTTGAAAGGTAGCTTTGGGGAGAGGGATCCAGTTCAGGATCTTTGGGGAGAGTTACAGTAAGACTAGGTACCTCTTCTTCTATTTAAAGCTAGATGAGGCAATCCAGTGCGGGGGGCGTGGAGGGAAGGTCCCAAAGACAGGCAACAGGGTCAAAGACAGCCTCTGCTCCCACTGTTAGGATTTGCTCTTGGCCCAAAGCCTGTCCTTGTTTCTGTCTAGGCTGTAGACCAAAAACAACAGGAAGTGATTGGGGCCTCTAATTCTGGGTCTGGCTTCTAGTTATTTTTCCTTTGTTTCTACACAACTGCCTGAAAGTTTGAGGGTGTGACCTAAACTCCAGTCCATAGACTGCAATAGAGGAGCACATGGACACTGTCTAGGTCATTGTTCCATTTTGAAGAGACACCATGACCACAACAACTCTTATAAATGAGAGCAGTTAATTAGGGGCTGGCTTACTGTTTCAGAGTTTTAGTCCATTGTAATTATGGCATGAAACATGGTGGCAGGCAGATGTGGTACTGACAAAGTAGTTGAGAGCTACATCTTGATCTGAGAGAGATAGGGCCTAGCTTGGGCTTTTTAAACTTCAAAGCCCCACCCCCAATGACACCTTCCTCCAAAAAGGCTCTGCCACCTAATCCTTCTCAAATACTGCCACTCCCATGTGACTAAGCATTCACACGCCTAAGAAAGGCATTCTTATTCAAACCATCACAGATATCTCACAGTAAGCCAACTGGACTGACTAGCTCACCCCTATGCCTCAACCCAGAAAATCCATATTAACCCCTAGACAATGACTTTGTGGTAGCGCATCTCTTAGGACCTCCTCTGACTACACTGGAACCGGTTTTTATTCCCCCGCCCTCAGGTTCTCATCCATGAGTCTGTAATCTTCCTTTCTTTCTTTTTTTTTTTTTGTATGTATATATAGTATTTATTTCCACATTATTCTCAATTATGCCTAGAATCTACTTGTAAGAATCATACAAAATAATTGTAATATATTTGAAATAGAACACCAGGAGCTAAAACAGGGGACTCTTCTGTCTTCTGCCAGGAAGCCCAGTCTCAGAGCCGTTGCCAGGCTCTTCCTTGCTGTGCCATTAAGATTATTTAATGTTTGTTAATGTTTTTACTCAGACCAGTATTAAAGTTATGTTTTATTGGGTTGTTGTTTTGTTTCTTCTTCTTCACATTGGTTTGAGGAGGGAATGCTGTTTTTAAATTAGTCCTTAACTCATGTACAAATTTTTGACCCCTTCATCCTCTGGTACCCAGAGATCCATACCTGTCTTTTCTTGGCCTCCCTTTCTTCACCAGCTCATCATTGTCTTTGGTATTTGAGTTGTGCTCACACTAGGCTGGCTTATTTATATGATAAGGTAATCATTATCACATGTGCACATCAAGTTAGGTTAACTTTTAAATGGCCATTCAGCTTTATAGAGTGGGAATGTTCTTCCTTGCTCAGTGTCATAGGTCCTATTTCTGAACAGCAAGGGAGAAGGGGATCTCTTGAATTGTCACAGCTTGACCTAAAGGCGAAATATCTGGCATGATATCAGTTTGATTTATGTGGATAGGTCCGTGCAAGCTTTGGGTACATACCAGAGAGCATGGTGTTGAGGACAGGGGTCCAACGGGGACCCTTTACTTGGAGTGCTGCAAGGCAAAGGTACACTTCTTGTAAGTTGCATACAGCAAGAGGATTGAGCGTAGCATCTGTTTGCACATAGTCACTGTCATTTGGATCTGAGGCTCCTTGAGTCCAGTAGGCCACTGGTGCTCCCTGCTGATTATTTTGCAGAAGGCTGACTTGTCTGAAACTCTGAAGGTTCCGGTCCACTTGGGTGGCTGGGCTGTGATGACCCTACCAAACACAGAATCCACTCCACTGAGGCGGACCGGCTGGGGCCTCCTCACCACCCCTTTCTTGTTACTCACGGCTCGGAGCTCTGATGTGTGACAGGGTAACTTGGGGCTCTCTCCAGGTTCCACAAGTGGGCTGTCTAGGACAAGTGTGACTTCTTGAAGGCACAACTGCACTTCAAGGTCAGAAGGGGTGTGGGGGAAGCAAGGAGAGGCCCTAAAAGGATGTTTGGAGGAAGGGGTAGGTGTAGTATGCCGCAGCCATTGGAAACTCTCATCCAGTGGGGTCCATGGTGACCAGAGCTGGTAGCCTGCCATTGACAGTCCTGGGAAAGGGGATGGCAGCGCCAAAGTGCAGCTGAAGTCCTCGTGAACTGTGAAAAGATCCCGAGAGGCTGGAGTGCTTGGAGAACAGGCTTGTCTCCCTGGAAGTCCCTCCCCTGGAGCGGGAGCCACACGGCCCTGGTCAAGGCCAGGGCAGCGGTGGGAGCCCGGGCCCAGACCCACCATCACCGTCCGGGCCGGGGGCTCACCTCGTAATCTTCCTTTCTAAGAACCTTGTATTGTTCATCAAATTTACACTTTGTTTTTCTTACATCCAAACCATAGTTTCTCCTCCCTCCTCTCCATCTAGTTCTGGTCCTCATCTATCCTCCTCCCCTCATCCACTCCTCCCCCTATGTTCAGAAAAGGGCCAGCCTTGATGGATATCAACCAGCTATGGCATATCAAGTTACAGTAAGACTAGGTACCTCTTCTTCTATTTAAAGCTAGATGAGGCAATCCAGTGGGGGATGGGGGGGGAAGGTCCCAAAGACAGGCAACAGGGTCAGAGACAGCCTCTGCTCCCACTGTTAGGATTCCCATAAGAAGATCAAGCTACACAAATGTACCATATGCACAGAAGACCTAAGTCAGTCCCATGCAGGTTCCCTGGTTGGCCATTCAGTCTCTGTGAGCCCCTCTGAGCCCAGGTTAGTTGATTCTGTGGGTTTTCTTATGTTGTCCTTTACCTTTCTGGCTCCTACAATTTTTTCTCCCCCTCCTCCATGAGATTCCCCAAGCTCCTCCTAAGGTTTGGCTGTAGGCCTCTGCATCTGTTTCCATCAGTTACTGGATAATAAGTGGGCTAGGCATCAATCTAAGAGTACAGCAGGATATCATTAGGAATCATTTCATTTCAATTTTTTTTGACATTTGCGTGTAGTTCTATCATGGATCTCTGGGCTCTCCAGCCTCTGGTTCCTGGACCTCCAGGAAGTGTCAGGGGTGTGCTCCTTCTCAGGCCGTGTGTCTCAAGCTGAACCTGTCATTGGTTAGTCACTCACACAATTTCTGTGCCACCTTTACCACAACATATCTTGTAGGCAGGACAAATTGTAGGTCAAAGGTTGGTGTCTGAGTTGGTGACTCAGTCCTTCCACTGGAAGTCTTGCCTGATTACAGGAGATAGGCTGATTCAGGCACTGTATCCCGCATTACTAGGAGACTTAGCTGGGTCTCCCTCACAGATTGCTGGAAGTTTCTATTACCCTAGGTTTCTAGCTCATCCCAGAGATGCCCTCAGATTCCAGTCTTCTCTCCTAGTCCTCTTTCCCTCTGTCCTCCCTACACCTGATTCCTTCTATTCCTTTATCTACCCCATCTCCGTCCCCAGTCCCCTCTTCCCTTACACCTGAAAAGTCTATTCTATTTCCCCTTCCAGGGAGATTCAGGCATCCATTCTTGAGTCTTTCTTGTTACTTAGTCTTCTTTACGTCTTTGGATTCTAGTATAGTTGTTCTTTGCTTTATAGCTAATATCTTCTTGTAAGTGAGTATACACCATGTTTATCTTTCTGGGTCTGGGTTACCTCACTCAGGATGATCTTTTCTAGTTCAGTCCATTTGCCTGCAAATTTCATGATGCCGTTGTTTTTAATAGCTGTGTGATGCTCCATTGTGTAGATGTGCCACATTCTCTCTATTCATTCTTCAGTTCAGAGGCATCTAGGTTGTTTCCAGTTTCTGGCTATTATGAATAAGGCTGCTATGAACACAGTTGAGCAAATATTCTTATGGTATGCTGGAGCATCCTTTGTTATATGCCCAAGAGTGATATAGCTGGTCTTGATTTCCAATTTTCTGAAAATGTATTTCTAATTTTTTGAGAAATTTCCATATTGATTTCCAAAATGTCTGTACAAGTTTGCAACTCCTACAAGGAGTTCCCCTTGCTGCACATTCTTTCCAGAATAAGCTGTCACTTGTGGTTTTTATCTGAGCCACTCTGGCAGGTGTAAGATAGAATCTTAGAGTCGTTTTGATTTGCATTCCCCTGATGACTAAGGATATTGAACATTTCTTTAAGTGCTTTTCAGCTATTAGAGATTCCTCTGTCAAGAATTCTCTGTTTAGAACTGTACCCCCTTTTTAGTTGGATTGTTTGGGTTTTTTATTTATTTATTGTTTTTTTATTGGATGTTTTATTTACATTTCATATGTCGTCGCCTTACCCCATCCCCCACCGACCCAGGAATCCCCTATCCCCTCACCCCTCCTCCTGCTTCTCTGCGGATGTACCCCTACCTACCCCCCCACTTCCACCTCCACACCCTCAAATTCCCACCCCCTGGGGCATCCAGCCTTCATGAGGACAAAGACCTCTTATCCCACCTATGCCCAACAGGGCCCTCCACCCTTACACATATAGCTGAAGCCCTGGATCCCTCCATAAGTGCTCCCAGGCTGGTGGTTTAGACCCTGGGAGCTCTGGTTGGTTGCTATTGTTGCTCTCCTCATGGGACCACAAACCCTTTCAGTTCCAATGGTATTCATTCTAACTCCTCCATTGGGAACCCAATGATCAGTTCAGTGGCTAATTGTGAGCATCTGCCTCTGAATATGTCAGACTCCTGCAGACCTCTGAGGAGACATCTATATCAGGCTCTTACCAGCATGCAATTCCTGACTTCCACATCAGCATCTACCTTTGGTGACTGCACATGGGATGGATATTCAGGTGGAATGGTCTTCAGACAGCCCCTCCTTCAGTTTCTGTCCCTCACTTTGTCTCCATATTTGCTCCCTTGAGTATTTTGTTGCTTCTTCTAAGAAGGACCAAATCACCCCCACTAGGACTTCCTTCTTCATGAGCTTCATGTGGCCTGTGAGTTGAATCTTGGGCATTTCAAAGTTCTGGGCAAATATCCAATAATCAGTGAGTGAATACCATGTGTGTTCTTTTGTGATTGGCTTACCTCACTCAGGATGATAATTTCTAGTTCCATCCATTTACCTAGGAAATTCTCGAATTCATTGTTTTTAATAGCTGAGTAATACTCCATTGTGTAAATGTACCACATTTTTTGAATCCATTCCTCAGTTGAAGGACATCTGGGTTCTTTCCAGCTCCTGGCTATTATAAATAAGGCTGCTATGAACATAGTTGAGCAGATGTCCTTGTTATATGTTCGAGCATCTTCTGGGAATATGCCTAGGAGTGGTATAGCTGGATCCTCAGGTAATGCTATCTCCAATTTTCTGAGGAATCGCCACACTGATTTCCAAAGTGGATGCAGCATCGTGCAGTCCCACCAAAAATGGAAGAGTGTTCCTCTTTCTCCACACCCTCGCCAGCATCTACTATCACCTGAGTTTTTAATCTTAGCCATTGTGACTGGTGTGAGATGGAATCTCAGGGTTGTTTTGATTTGCATTTCCCTGACAACTAAGGATACTGAATATTTCTTTAGGGGCTTCTCGGCCATTCGAGTTTCCTCTGTTGAAAATTCTTTGTTAAGCTCTATACCCCATTTTTTAATAGGGTTATTTGGTTGTCTGGAGTCTAATTTCTTGAGTTCTTTGTATATATTGGATATTAGCCCTCTATCAGATGTAGGATTGGTAAAGATCTTTTCCCAATTTGTTGGTTGTCGTTTTGTCCTATTGACAGTGTCCTTTCCCTTACAGAAACTTTACAATTTTATGAAGTCCCATTTGTCAATTCTTGATCTTAGAGCATATGCCATTGGTGTTCTGTTCAGAAACTTTTCCCCGTCCCCAAGTATTCGAGGGTCTTCCTCACCTTCTCTTCTATTAGTTGCAGTGTATCTGGTTTTATGTGGAGGTCCTTTATCCACTTAGACTTGAGCTTTGTACAAGGGGATAAGAATGGATCAATTTTCATTCTTCTACATGTTGTCTTCCAGTTGAATCAGCACCATTTGTTGAAAATGCTGTCCTTTTTCCACTGGACAGTTTTAGCTCCTTTGTCAAAGATCAAGTGACCATAGGTATGTGGGTTCATTTCTGGGTCTTAAATTCTATTCCATTGATCTTCTTGCCTGTCTCTGTACCAATACCAGGTAGTTTTTATCACTATTGCTCTGTAGTACAGCTTGAGGTCAGGGATGGTGATTCTTCCAAAAGTTCTTTTATTGTTGAGAATAGTTTTTGCTATCCTGGATTTTTTGTTATTCCAAATGAATTTGAGAATTTCCTTTTCTAACTCTGTGAAGAATTGAGTTGGGATTTTAATGGGGATTGCACTGAATCTGTAGATTGCTTTTGGCAAGATGGCCATTTTTATTATATTAATCCTGCCAATCCATGAGCATGGGAGATCTTTCCATCTTCTGAGATCTTCTTCGATTTCTTTCTTCAGGGACTTGAAGTTCTCGTCATACAGGTCTTTCACTTGCTTGGTTAGATTCACACCAAGGTATTTTATATTATCTGTGACTATTGTAAAGGATGTCATTTCCCTAATTTCTTTTTCAGTCTGTTTATCTTTCATGTAGAGGAAGGCTACTGATTTGTTTGAGTTGATTTTATAACCAGCCACTTTGCTGAAGTTGTTTATCAGGTTTAGAAGTTCTCTGGTGGAAGTTTTGGGGTCACTTAAGTATACTATCATATCATCTGCAAATAGTGAAGTTTTGACTTCTTCCTTTCCTATTTGTATCCCTTTGACTTGTTTTTGTTGTCTAATTGCTCTGGCTAGGACTTCCAGTACTATATTGAATAGGTAGGGGGAGAGTGGGCAGCCTTGTCTAGTCCCTGATCTTAGTGGGATTGCTTCAAGTTTCTCTCTATTTAGTTTGATATTGGCTACTGGTTTGCTGTAAATTGCTTTTACTATGTTTAGGTAGGGGCCTCGAATTCCTGATCTTTCCAAGACTTTTATCATGAAGGGATGTTGAATTTTGTCAAATGCTTTCTCAGCATCTAGTGAGAAGATCATGTGGTTTTTTTCTTTGAGTTTGTTTATATAGTGGATTACATTGATGGATTTTCGTATATTGAACAAAACCCTGCATTCCTGGGATAAAACCTACTTG